TTTAGCTCCGCTTGGGAGTCTAAGCAAATGACGGCCATGCGGTATTTAGGATGTATTTTGACTCACATTCAATCACAGCCAGGCAAACGTATACAGCATCAAGCTGCACAACAGCTGGCTGAACGGAAATCCAACTTGCAAAACTTCACCCGCATTCGCAGCGGTATGTGTTGGTGTGCGCAGCCGTGCATGCCATTGGATTTGAACACACCGCCGGCAAATGCATACAATATAAGTCCCGCACTTTTCATGCAGCGTTATTATACCAACAATTCTATCCTTTCTATGAATGGATAGCACTTGATTTCGCAAACAGTAACGGAAGTAGCACAAAGAGTCATCAACATACTTATACATCTAGCTAGACAATTCTTGGGCCATGTTGTCGAATTGGGCAACAGAATTAATCTGAGGAGGCATCCAACATGAGTCTGCTCAATTAATTTGAGCCATGCCTACGCCACTTACCAGTGCAGGTGTGTAGGTGTGCGTGTATAGTCCGTGGCCTTCAGCCAATTGGACCTCAGACACACTAAGTCATAGGGGTGCAGGTGGGACGCTTCAGCTCCTCCAGGGACAGTGTCGCTGGCGCATGCAACAGCTTGGCCTTTGTTTCTCTGTCCTAGGAAGCGATTCCCACCAATTATAACAAGAGTAGGGATCTGAATGACGATTGAGTTGGTCTAACGAGCCACAGCCAAATAAGTTTGCTGCATGCTTTTGAATGTGCAGTTCACCTAAACGCAATGGCTGAGTCGTATGTTCGACACTCGAGGGAGGTGAAGAACGTCGTACCGAAAGCGTGCGAGGAAAGTGACGATTGGAAGCAGGTCGCTTTCATACTGAAGGTGAAAGTGAAAACACCGCAACTGGATACGGGCGTACAAATCGACGGAACCGGTTGGGCAGCACGGGGGAGTCCGTCGCAGAGCGCTGGGAGATAGCCACGTCGACTCTCTGGTGGAGTGGGTTTCTGCAGAGCCCACCGTTACCCTTGACTTCCTTCGTTTGCGGTTGAAGGCGAAGTTCGAAATTGCAGTAAGTACCAGCACTGTCTCACGATACTTGGATGGTAAAGTTATAACCATGAAGACATTTCACATAATTCCGGAGTCCATGAACACGCTGGAGAACAAAAACGACGCAGGGCATTCGTTATGCAGCTCATGGATTACGAGGTAGAAGGAAGGCAACCGGTGTGGATTGATGAGACCAACTTCAACTTATTTTGCTCTCGCACTCGTGGCCGCTCACGACGTGGTAGTCGAGCGCAGTGTACAGTGGCGAACCGTCGGGGACCGAATGTTCATGTTGTCGGCGCCATGACAAACAACGGCTTGATAGCGTGTTCGGTTCTGAGAGGAAGTTACAACAAGCAAAGGTGCGCTCAGTTGCTGCGACAAGTGTTTGATACCAACGGAGTAGGGTTTGTGGAAAGGTGTCTTTTGATTTGTGACAACGCGCCCTGTCACACGCACCTGGAGCACGTTTGTCTGGAGGAACCGTACCGCTCTGGGAGACTTCTACGCCTTGCGCCATACTCACCAGCTCTCAATCCCATCGAGGGCATCTGGAGCATAATAAAGGCTCATGTAAAACAGGCAATGAGGGGACGGTACTCCGAGATGCTCCTGGGGGATCCTGAAGGCATTATGAATAAAAACGATTAGCGGATTCGCTTTTTGGAACACATTGTGTCTGAAGCACGGGTTTAGTGACGCAGCAGCACTGGCAACAAATGGTTCAACATGTCCGTAGGAATCATGGACTTGTTGTTCATTTGGTCGATCTGTAAAACATTCTGTTGGCAGTAAACTACCTGTTCTAAACGAGTGTTGTTCTTACATTATTATGATGACGGGTCAGAGTGCACTTTATACTATGCTAGAAATAGCCAGTTCTCTAATCGGGGGAACATCGTGGGTTTCCGGTAAGTTGGTGTGTGTAGTCGCCTCGCACACCCATTTTAATTGCAGTGTTGTAGAACGATCATGTGGGAGCTTGACAAACAGGTGCCACTCTAACACGGTTGTGTAACAAGCAATTATGTTCTACCGCCTGTCGTTGATTGTATTTGGAGAGCCAATGAATAAGGACTTTGATAAGGGCATAATAAATACGAAAATTGAACCATGCAGACTTGATGTACATGGGTAGTGTGTGTGGCCGTTTGCCTGATTGCTTAACCCGTTACACCGACGCAGGCGGCTGGACGCTGTATGCGAAAACGCAAAGCATGTAGGACAAGCAAAACTAACGTTTATCACGCTCTCTAGGGAAATATTTCCCGATGGGTATTTATCAGTTTTGGACTGTATTCGAACACACCACAGGATTGCGGTGAGAGGATGCTTTGAAGCTGCAAATAAAATATACTCGCTTCGGTGAATCACATTTACTCGTCGGGTTGTAACATCTGCACAGGGATGAGTGGCTCCGCATGACCCGAACCAATCCGTGCGTTTATATGGCATTTGTCATTTGCAAGTGAAAGTTGCTATTTCGCTTCATCCCAATTATACGTGGGTAAATGATACGGTTATAGACGGACATCTGTTGCAATCATATCTCGTGCGTCTTATCGTCATCCATCCACACACCTCAGGCTCCGTCCACCAACGCGAGCTGTTACTACACCGTGCAGCTAATCACGAGATATAAATCGGGCGCACTCTCCATCCACCTCGGACTCCTAGTAGGTGGTTGATATGAAACGGTCCAGCCACCTACCAAGTATCTGTTTCGCCTTTCAATCCCCTGGATCATTGACGAACATACACCCGAATACGGAAGCCCTAGTAATGTCACCATGACACATATGGCATTAAGCGAGCGATCCGTCGAAACTTAGTTCCAGTGTTGCTCTCGGGAAAATATGCGGTTACCTTACGGCCATAATTGCTATCCACTAAAATTTCACATGCTTTACCGGCACATTCAATCATGCGCTTTTCATCAGGAACGTCATCTACATGGTTCTTAACCTGGTGATGCATCTCCGGTGTAAGCGCTTTGGTTTTCAGTGCACTCGGTTTGAGTTTGAATGAGTAACTATCGATGATTGAGCTATGATGTCGTTGCTGGACTCCTAACACGTGATCGTTCTTAATGACGGGGAGTTGCATTATGTAGACGAAGAGATGCCTAATCCCCGTTGAATACGTTTAGTTGTTTCGTTTGCAGAGGCGCAGTATGGGGGCTCGTAGGCGGTCCGTCCAGGGCGGTACGTGACACAGGGCCGCACTTTTCTTACCGTCGTATGTTGGATACCAAATATGAATGACAAATTATCCGGATAAGCTGTGGGTGGAATATTTTAATGTTACTCTGTATGCTCAACAAAACATTTGCCCCATGTGTCACACTTGTACAAACGTTCTTCCCAGTACTCCTCTTATTTATTTCGTAGTGGTCACTTTCAATACATTCACCTCAAGGTCTCAAGCGCATATTACTTTGCATCGAAAGCTGGTGTGCTCTTTACCGAACGGTTGGCTTTCACGCGCCTATGCTGCCCTCAGTAAGAGTGATAATGTTACTACCCCTTTGAGTGACAAAGTAGTTGCCACTATCCACATTGCAAAGTGGCCCGTCAACGGACGGTATGTTTGTAGGCTGGTGAGAATATTTGAGAAAACTGGGAGCGTGTGCGTCGCCAAAAAGCCAGGGCGGCCTCGCATCACCACGGATAACATTGCTACTTGTGTGGTTATTTGTGAGGTATCCAGAAGCTGCGATCTAAGCATTCGCAAACTCGCCCAGCATTGCGACACCACCAGATATGCTGTCCATATGGCTTTGAAGGAAAGGTAATTCCGGAAGTATAGCGCCCGTCAAGTGCAGGTTTTAAACCCATGTGATTCGGAGAAGCGGCTTCATTTTTGCCGCAGGTTTTTGAGTGTCATGGACATCCATTCAATTCTTTTTACCGATGAGGCTGCTTTCCCTTTGCACGTTGCGGAGAAGCAACGATTTTGGGCAACGTGTAATCCACGTCGATGCAGCGCTTCACATATACAACATGGCGCAAACCTCATGGTATGGGCTGGGTTAACTGGCCAAAGAATCGTGCGACCATTTTGTTTTTTTCGGTAATGTAAACTGCAGGTTGTTTTTTCGCAGTACTACTACCTTGCGCTTTCTAGCATCCTCGTACAAGGAATTACTGGAAAATTGTGCCATTCCGGAATTGGAAGCCGCTGGGTTATTAATTACCGTTTGATTGCTACAAGATGGCGCACCTACACACTATACATAAACAGTGCGGGATTTTCTCAAGCAGACGTTCTCTTGCCGTTGGGTCGGGCGGGGAGGACCTATAGAGTGGCCTGCTCGGTCAACAGATTTGAACCCTTTGGATTTCTTCCTCTGGGGTTACTTGAAACAGCGTGTTTACAAAACGAAGCCAAACTCTCTAGAGGAATTGAAGCGGAGCATTTTGCCAGAATGTCGCGGGATCACAGTTGGTACTCTGGAGAAATTGCCAGCAAACACCGTCAGGCGAATGCTGCGCTCTGCATATTTCAGTGGTCAGGCCAGGTGTCAACTCGTCCTATTGCTCTATCATCGTCTCATACTAAGCACGTCCATTCGGGCGTGCATGTGCACCCGGCCGCCATATGGAATTCGCATTTGTTGGTGCAACATAACTGTCCACGACCAACTGGACTAGGCAAGTTACGGATCTTTGAATTCGATGGCAACAACCTATGTTATGCAGAGGAGACACTGATAAGAGTCGCGAAATACTGTGCTATGTTGCAAGTATAGTGTGCGACCGACGTAAAACGGAAACGTTCCTAAGAAAAAGAGAGCATTAGCCAGCGCACGAATTCAGTCGATAAATCTTTGCATGATACATATATTTACAGATTATCAGTGTAATGCTCAGATTTGTCAGCCAAGTTGATGTTCGAAGTGCCCACCGGCGTTTTGCGTACAGCGCAGCATTCGCCTGATGGTGTTTGCTGGCACTTTCTCCAGAGTACCAACTGTGATCCCGCGACATTCTTGCAAAATGCTCCGCTTCAATTCCTCAAGAGAGTTTGGCTTCGTTTTGTAAACACGCTGTTTCAAGTAACCCCAGAGGAAGAAATCCAAAGGGTTCAAATCTGTTGACCGAGCAGGCCACTCTATAGGTCCTCCCCGCCCGACCCAACGGCAAGAGAACGTCTGCTTGAGAAAATCCCGCACCGTTTGTGCATAGTGTGCAGGTGCGCCATCTTGTTGCAATCAAACGGTACTTAATAACCCAGCGGCTTCCAGTTCCGGAATGGCACAATTTTCCAGTATTTCCTTGTACGAGGATGCTAGAAAGCGTAAGGCATTAGTACTGCGAAACAACAACCTACCGTTCACATTACCGAAAAAGCAAAATGGTCGCACGATTCTTTGGCCAGTTAACCCAGCCCATACCATGAGGTTTGCGCCATGTTGTATACGTGAAACGCTGCATCGACGTGGATTACACGTTGCCCAAAACTGTTGATTCTCCGCAACGTGCAAAGGGAAAGCAGCCTCATCGGTAAAAAGAATTGAATGGATGTCCATGACACTCAAAAACCTGCGGCAAAAATGAAGCCGCTTCTCCGAATCACATGGGTTTAAAACCTGCACTTGACGGCGCTATACTTCCGGAATTACCTTTCCTTCAAAGCCCTATGGACAGCATATCTGGTGGTGTCGCAATGCTGGGCGAGTTTATGAATGCTTAGATCGCAGCTTCTGGACACCTCACAAATAACCACACAAGCAGAAAAGTCATCCGTGGTGATGCGAGGCCGCCCTGTCTTTTTGGCGTCGCACACGCTCCCAGTTTTCTGAAATTTTCTCACCAGCCTACGAACATACCGTCCGTTGATGGGCCACTTGGCACTGTGGATAGTGGCAACTACTTTGCCACCCGAGGGGTGGTAACATTATCACTCTTACTGAGGGCAGCATAGGCACGTGAAGGCCAAACGATCGGTAAAGAGCACACTAGCTTTCGATGCAAACTAATATGCGCTTGGGACCTTGAGGTGAATGTGTTGAAAGTGACCACTATGGAACAAATAAGAGGAGCACTGGGAAGAACGTTTGCACAAGTGTGACACATGGCGCAAATGTGTTGTTGATCATACAGAGTAACATTAAAATAGTCAACCCACAGCTTATCCGGATAATTTGTCCTTCATATTTGGTATCCAACATACGACGGTAATAAAAATGCGGCCCCGTGTCACGTGCCGCCCTGGACGGACCGCCTACGCGCCCCCATACTGCGCCTCTGCAAACGAAACAACTAAACGTATTCAAAGCGGATTAGTCATCTCTTCGTCTACATAATGCAACTCCCCGTCATTAAGAACGATCACGTGTTGGGAGTCCAGCAACGACACCATAGCTCAATCATCGATAGTTGCTCATCCAAACTCAAACCGAGTGCACTGAAAACCAAAGCGCTTACACCGGAGATGCATCACCAGGTTAACAACCATGTAGATGACGTTCCTGATGAAAAGCGCTTGATTGAATGTGCCGGTAAAGCATGTGAAATTTTAGTCGATAGCAATTAAGGACGTAAGGTAACCGCTCATTTTCCCGAGAACAACACTGGAACTAAGTTTCGACGGATCGCTCGCCTAATGCCATATGTGTCATGGCGAGAGTACCCAGGGCTTCCGTATTCGGGCGTACGTTGGGTCGTCAAAGACCCAGGGGATTGAAAGGCGAAACAGATACTTGGTAGGCGGCTGGACCGTTTCATATCAACCACCTACTAGGAGTCCGAGGTGGATGGAGAGTGCGCCTGATTTATATCTCGTGATTAGCTGCACGGTGTAGTCACAGCTCGCGATGGGGGACGGAGCCTGAGGTGTGTGGATGGATGACGATAAGACGCACGAGATATGATTGCAACAGATGTCCGGCTATAACCGTATCATTTACCCACGTAGAATTGGGATGAAGCGAAATAGCAACTTTCACTTGCAAATGGCAAATGCCATATGAACGCACGGATTGGTTTGCGTCATGCGGAGCCACTCATCCCTGTGCAGAGGTTACAACCCGACGAGTAAATGTGATTCGCCGAAGCGAGTACATTTTATTTGCAGCTTCAAAGCATCCTCTCACCGCAACCCTGTGGTGTGTTCGAATACAGTCCACAACTGACAAATACCCATCGGGAAATATTTCCCTAGAGAGCGTGATAAACGTTAGTTGTGCTTGTCCTACATGCTCTGCGTTTCCGCATACAGCGTCCAGCCGCCTGCGTCGGTGTAACGGGTTAAGCAATCCGGCAAACGGCCACACACACTACCCATGTACGTCAAGTCTGCATAGTTCAATTTTCGTATTTATTATGCCCTTATCAAAGTCCTTATCCACTGGCTCTCCAAATACAATCAACGACAGGCGGTAGAACATAATTGCTTGTTACACAACCGTGTTAGAGTGGCACCTGTTTGTCAAGCTCCCACATGATTGTTCTACAACACGGCAACTAAAATGGGTGTGCGAGGCGACCACACGCACCAACTTACCGGAAATCCACGATGTTCCCCCGATTAGAGAACTGGCTATTTCTAGCATAGTATAAAGTGCACTCTGACCCGTCATCATAATAATGTAAGAACAACACTCGCTTAGAACAGGTAGTTTACTGCCAACAGAATGTTTTACAGATCGACCAAATGAACAACACGTCCATAATTCTTACTGACATGTTGAACCATTTGTTGGCAGTGCTGCTGCGTCACTAAGGCCCGTGCTTCAGACACCGCGTGCTCCAAAAAGCGAATCCGCCACTCGCTTTTATTCATAATGCCTTCAGGATCCCCCAGGAGCATCTCGGAGTACCGTCCCCTCATTGCCTGTTTTACATGAGCCTTTATTATGCTCCAGATGCCCTCGATGGGATTGAGAGCTGGTGAGTATGGCGCAAGGCGTAGAAGTCTCCCAGAACGGTACGGTTCCTCCAGAAAAACGTGCTCCAGGTGCGTGTGACAGGGCGCGTTGTCACAAATCAAAAGACACCTTTCCACAAACCCTGCTCCGTTGGTATCAAGCACTTGTCGCAGCCACTGAGCGCACCTTTGCTTGTTGTAACTTCCTCTCAGAACCGAACACGCTATCAAGCCGTTGTTTGTCATGGCGCCGACAAGATGAACATTCGGTCCCCGGCTGTTCGCCACTGTACACTGCGCTCGACTACCACGTCGTGAGCGGCCACGAGTGCGGGAGCAAAATAAGTTGAAGTTGGTCTCATCAATCCACACCGGTTGCCTTCCTTCCACCTCGTAATCCATGAGCTGCAAAACGAATGACCTGCGTCGTTTTTTGTTCTCCAGCGTGTTCATGGACTCCGGAATGGTGTGCAATTTCTTCATTGTTATAAGTCTACCATCCAAGTATCGTGAGACAGTGCTGGTACTTACTGTAAGTTCGAACTCCGCCTTCAACCGCAAACGAAGGAGTTCAAGGGTAACGGTAGGCTCTGCAGAAACCCACTCCACCAGAGAGTCGACGTGGCTTTCTCCCAGTGCTCTGCGACGGACTCCCCGTGCTGCCCCACCGGTTCCGTCGATTCGTACGCCCGTATCCAGTTGCGGCAAGTTTTCACGTTCACCTTCAGTATGCAAGCGACCTGCTTCCAATCGTCACCTTCCTCGTACGCTTTCAGTACGACGTTCTTCACCTCCCTCGAGTGCCGAACATACGAGCCAACCATTGCGTTTAGGTGAACTGCACATTCAAAAGCATACGGCAAACTTATTTGGCTGTGGCTCGTTATACCAACCCAATCGTCATTCAAATCCCTACTCTTGTTCTAATTGGTGGGAATCGCTTCCTAGGACAGAGAAACAAAGGCCAACCTGGTGCATGGGCCAGCGACACTGTCCCTGGTAGGAGCTGAAGCGTTCCACCTGCACCCCTATGATGTCCAATCGGCTGTAGGCGACGGACTATACACGCACATCTACACACATGCACTGGTAAGTGGCGTAGGCATGGTTTGAATTAATTGAGCAGACTCAGATTAATTCTGTTGTATAGGACCACGACTTGGGGGAGAAATGTTATTGAGTTGCTGCAATGGATAAAGGAATAACGATAAATGCAACATGTGCAAGCCAGCTGATTTACCGGTAGCGGGTGGTCATCTTTACGGTGAGCTACCAGCCTGCTACTTCATCGCGAAATAGATATACAATCAAAATTTTATAGTGCTTAATATTGTTGTTGTCGTTGGGTGGACTATGTAAAATTAGTGGGACGGGGAATCTCACAGGATGAAGGCAACTGAGGTCTGCTCCTAGGCAAATCTGCATGTGTAACCAGCAAAACGTGTTCACCATCTTTGGGACCCAAACTACGGAGCTGAGACGCTCCAACCGAGGCCAGATTCGAAGTGATTAATCATTCTTATTACCAAGTCATCGCTTGGCCACCTCTCCCCTTCTTCCATCCACACCCACGGCGCGCAATCAACGCACTTGTGGGAGTCGTTGGGCTGGCATGCGTAACACGTAGCCGAGCAATCAGAGCCTGGTATTTGAAGTAACGGTGCTGTGCGGTTCGGTTCCTTTTTCTGTGCTGTAAACCAGGCGGCGAACACTCTTGTTGCTCACGCGGTGTTCCCACCAGACTTGAGCTGAATTGCGAATGCACCGGTGGTCGAACGTAACTAGCCTTTTTATGTCCGCTGATCAATGGGTCAGGTTTCACAGCCGTACAGTGAGATCGAATGTACCGTTACATTATGCACTCTACCCTTCAGGGCGAGAATGATGTCGCGCCGGCGCCATAAGTGACGAAGCTTAGCAAAAGCGCCTGGAGCTTTTGCTATACGGTTCGTGCTCTCATCTTTAATCCCACGGGCGCTGATACAACTTCCCAGATAGTTGAATTTTTGAAAGACTTCTAGCTGATCCTTACTAAGGATCAGCGTAGGAAGTGGTCCAGGCCAATCTTGTTGAGATGGACACGCAGTGCTAATCTGTCCAGTGCCAGTTGGCACCTTTGTGAGCTGTCACAGACTAGGGTAATATCGTCAGCATACTGCAAGTCAAGAGGTCGTTCTCCTGTGAGCAAATCCACGCCTTCTAAGTTGGGTCCTGTGAACGCGATTTCCATGACTGCGTCAATAGCATAGTTGAAGAGGAAAGGCGACAGCGGGCATCCTTGTCTCACACCGCTGGAGATATTAAATGGCGACGACAACTTGTCGTTAGCTTTCACTCTGCCTGAGATACGCGCGTATAATGATCGGATAATATTTACATATTTCTCAGGTACACGATTCCTGAGTAGACAGTCCGAAACTGCACGTCTATCCACCGAATCAAATGCATCTTTGAAATCGAGGAACACGGCAAGGGTGAGGCGCCAATATGTGTGACGGTGCTCCAACAACTGACGCAAGGTGAAGATGTGGTCAATGCAGCCACGATTTCGACGAAATCCAGCTTGCTCTTTACGAATCTGGCTTACACGAGCGCCAGTCATTCTGTGAAGGATTCTAGAGGCAAGCAATTTGGAGGCAATGGAGATCAGACTGATTCCTCTATGGTTGCCACATTCCGATCGTGAGCCTCCCCTAAAAATTGGAACTA